TGATAGTTGGCGTCAAAAGCGAGGAGAGCCAATCAACATCTAGTTTGATATAGTCAGGAAAGATTTGAACGTATAGGGAGACCAGCAATGTATGGACCTGGACGGTGTGTGACTGAATGGCTTGTGAAACGCCACTGGCGATGCCGACAAGTAGGTTCGAAACGCCTTACCCTTGTAGTCAGCGGAACTAGCGTAATGAGCAATGGTGAGAGCTGTTAGAATGAGAAAAAGAGGCTAGAAGTACAAAGTGGATCGCCAGTATTAGCATTGATTTCGATATTAATTTCTTTCTCGTTAAAAAAACAGGAAAAACAGGGTTCGGTTCAAATTGATGAATTATTTCTAAAAATCCAAAAAAAGGAAAGACAAAAAAAAGCGAAAAAGAAGATCAACCATATGATTATTTTTCGAATTCTTTTCGAAACATGAAATAATTTAAAAATTCAAATAAGCTGCCAGTCATATCAGAAAGCCTATAGAATTTGCGACAGCTGTTAAATTAAAAATTGTCTTTTGTCTACAGAGTGATAATTAATAACAAATCTCATATCTCATCCACACTATAAAAATAATTTCCATCTCGCTTAATTTCCATCTCGCTTAATTTTCATCGAGCGTTTATTGTTTATAAAGCCAAAGCCTAAAAAATCTTTTAATCTAATTATGCTAAATCATATATCTAGGCCTTTTAAAAATTGGTTCTAAGGCTATTTCAAGGCTATAAATATAAATAAAGAAAATATTATTGTTGAGCTAGTAAATAATAAATAAGATGAAATTAAAAATATGGCTCATAGCTCTATCAATATTGCTCATGCTCGCTTTTTTTATAAGTTCTTCCTTTTAGAAATAGCGCTGATCATTTCTGATTAGGCCGATCTCAGTTACTGAAAAAAACATTTTGATAAGCCCTTTATTAGAGAGTATTTTATTTGATGTTAGAAACATAGATCACATAGGCATACATATACATAGATCTCACTTAATGATAGTTTTGCAAGGCGTAAGAACCTGATCAATGATTTCTTTGTAATTTAAGTACGGTACGACTCGAACTGATTCGCTCCAATTCATTACGAAATATTCACTACAGCTTAAAAATTTTTATTAATAACAAACTATTTTGACTATAATTTTTTTTGCAATGAGCCTTTTTATAAGCGATAATTATCCCATAATTATCACATAAATTATCCAATCGCCCGTTTATTTCGATTACTTCTTATCAACGAAAAAAAATAAAAAAATATTCAAAGATTCAATCGAAATTAATTGTCAAATCCAAATAAAAAATATAAAATTGTACAGCAAATTTATTATATGGAAAACACACTATCCAGTTAATTGAATCGAATTGAAAAGAGAGTAAAATAAGGAATTCGAAAAGGTGTTTTATCCATTATGCATATCCTCTCAATGAAACGTTCGTGCATAAATTAGGACTTTTTAAAAAAAATAGCATATTTTTTTCAGAATCGCATCAAATACGCTAAATATTTTGCTGTGAAAAAATTTATTCAAATAGAATTGGTAATTAACTTAGTGAAGCATACTTCCCAGCCATTAGATGAAAATAGAAAAGGCATAAATAGACAAACGAGCTTCAATATAAAATCAAAAATTTCGCCGAATAAAATAAAATTCAACGAAAGAAACGAAAAATTCGGGGAAAAGGAAAAAATTTGATTCAAAAAAACAATAAATAAATGAATTGGTTTAAAAAAATTATTAATGAAAATAAACATTCATCAGAAGAATATAAAAATTATAAAAAAGGAAAAAAAATATTCATATTCATATCCGAAATATTCATGAAAAAAGAGGCAAATCTTTTTTATAAATTTATAATTAATGGATGCATTTTGAGAAAAATTTATCCGATTTGTTTCGCAAGAATTAATCATATTGCCAAGTTATAATTCGAAATTATTTCGAATATTTCCTTTTTTATGAAACATCGCATTTTATTTATTTGTAATTCGATGAGAGGATTCTATGCGAAATATTAAATTCTAATATAATGCGATAAATTTATCGTTACTTAAAGCGAAAATCTCGAATTCCATCTGTACTATCTATCTTGAAGTCGCTTCCGATGAATGGATATTATAGAAAATGAATGAAGCTAGAAGCTAGCCAAGGAAGGAATTGTGAGCATCCTTCAGATGAAATAATCGTTTCTTAAGAGCAGTGAGTCGTTTTTGTGGCTCTGTGCCACATTTCGCAGAATTCTCAAATCTTTTTCTTTAACTACCCTATTTTTTACACGAACTTTAATAACTCATGCACGACAAATTATATAAATAGTCAATTTGAGCAGTATAAAAAATTTTGGAGAAAATTATATGATGGCTAAAGGACTTATGATTTAATATGAATTTTTAAAAAAATTTTTTAAAGCTTATGCAGCTTGAGATTTTAATCATAAGATTTTAAATTGTTCTGGAATATTCACAAGACAATTAATCGTTAATGAAATGAATTTTTTTTCGAAATCAAGAGGGCTCTTCTTCTTCTTCCTTCGTTCTAACAGCTCTCACCATAACTGATTAAGCTGGTTCCGCTGGCTATGAGAGTATGACATCTCCAAGCTGCCCGGTCTGATGCCATCGCTAATAGTAATAGAAGCGCTTGATTTTTTTTTATTTTTTCAAATAAGATAGTAATCGCTTCCTGAATTGGAAAGAATTTTGCAATAAACAAAAATGAAACAAAGTTTCTTTCACAGTTCATATTAATAATGCTGTGATATGTTTCACCCGTCGAACGAAAGCAAGGGGGATTTGATTTGTCACTAAAAACAAAATCCGAATTTTGATAGAAAACAAACTATCTTTCTATTATCTTCTGAATTTCAATGATTTCAGATTTAACCAAACCAGAAATTATATATGTTCTTAAAGAATTCAGAAGAATATTGATGCATGGATAATTAATGCAAGATAAATCGGCTCGATTAAATTAATCTGATCTGATTTGTGCACAGTTTTTTTAAAACTGTTTATTTTTCTATTGATTAATGAGCAGAGTACTTTGGCGCCCAGCCGCTCATATAGCACACAGATCACAATATCACAAAAATCTGCGTCCATATAATTGCAGTTCGTTCGATCTTGCTATATGGCCGCGAAACATGGCCAATGAGTGTGGGCGATATTAAGAAGTTATTGGCCTTTGACCATTCATGCCTAATATACATTTACTGATCCATCGAATGGATAAAATAGCACATAATTGTATTTATTACTGGTTAGGACACTTTTTCCTCAATCCACCACGGGAATTAACGCACATTTCGATACTTGCGAAATCATATGATGGTTGGCGTCAAAAGCGAAGAGGGCCAATCAAGAGTTGGACTGGTACAGTAGGGAAAGATTTTGAAAGTATAGAGGGATTGGTGATATATGGATATGGGCGATGTTATCCTTGAAGCCAGTGGAGTCACCCTAACCAGTAATGGTGAAGCTGGAAGCTGTTAGAAGAAAGTTGTTAGAAGAAGATGAAAGATTTGTGCTGTGCAAATCAAGGATTCATAATTAATGGTAATAATAAATTAGAATATCGTTGCATATTGTTAGTTAAAAAAGGAATACTAATGATAGTGAGAAAGAAAAAAAACTAATTTACGATACACAATGGTCAATGATTAATGATTATTAATGATTAATCTAATAACCTTCAAAATATAATGGTTATTGAAAATTACGCAGTTCTTTAATCTGAGAATAGATTAAAATTATTTTAATATGATGTCAAAGGTTTAAATTTTAGATTGTTTTAGAAAAATATTTAAATTTTTCGATGGATTTTTTTATTTTTCAAAAAAATTCTAAAAATTTTTCGAAGTATTTCGCATTATTATAACATGTTGATTATCATTAATTATCATTAATTATCGTTTGACCTTAAATAATCCTCAATTATTCTTAATACTCGCATAACTCCATTTCAAAAAAGTTATTTTAAAAAATTCTATTCCCAGAGGTTCTTTACTGGCTCTCTTCAGAATAAGCCCTTTGAGACCAATGGAAATTTAATAAGAGTCAACAAGCCACGAAAAAACCTAGCGGTTTATGGCACCTGCAGGGGTGAAAATGGTCGATGGACCAGTTTTAACATTCAAACGTTCTCCTATTTAAATAAAAATTTAAACATACAAGTATAAAATTTTTCTCAATTTTAAATATAAAAAATAAAATTGGTGTGAAAATCCTGTAAATTTTCGAAGAATTATTTTACCAATTTGATCTTTATGCTCAATTTTAGTTTCGTCAAAAAATTCTAAGCTTCGAGATTTTTTATAATTTTCTTCAACAGTAAATGCTTAAGAATAAATGGAAATTTAAAAGGAGTCGGTGGACTTCGAGAAAGAGTATTTTACTATATTACATACAGTTATAAATCGCTATTGTTACGTGCTGCAATCTTTTCCGGTCTCAATTTTTACTATTTTATAAAATACATATAATAAAATATTAAATTTCAAATATCGCTTCAAGTCTGCAGAAAAATGAGTGAGTGGTACCTCGACGATGACTTCAAGCACATTTAGTTTTTAATCTTTGGTAGAAGAAAGTTTTATCTTTATCTTGAAATCTTATTGGATAACTATTACGAAACTATGCTTTCCTTTATTGTCAAATGATAAGGGTTATTAACACTGAAAAATACCTAATACTAAATTTTATTGATAAGTATAATAATATAATAATAATATAAATAAATTTTATACAAATAAATTCTATTCTATTAATAATCGAATCCGAACAATACATTGTTTTTGTATTCATTTTGCCAAAAAAATTTTAATCTTTTAGTTGCAAAAATCAATAAAAATTCATTAATGATCGTTGAAAAAATTGATTGATAATGATACGATAACGAAAAATAGCAATGATGAAAAAAAAAATAATGCATGCAATGTTGCATGTTTTAATATTAAATAAGGCCATATAGCGTTAAAATATTTCGATCAAATTTTTTCGAAATAAAAAATTTTATGTGAGACGTTCATATTGCTTTCTTTTGCGCATTTTTAAGCATAAAACAATTATAGAGATAATTAAGGCAATAATAATAACAACACCAAGAGCGTGCCAAATCCAAAACCATGTATTATTGGGCCAAGTATCGTAAACTGTTACAGTAGGAACAGTCGGAATTGGAAATTCTCCTAAATAAATCTCCTTGAAAACTATGAAATACGATTTTAAAGCATAAAGTGCCTCTAAATAATTCTTGCTCATTAAAATATTGCCAGCTCATGAATGTCTGAATAAAAAAGAAAGTACGTTCCATGAAAATAATAAGATATTATAGGGCACCAGCTAGTGCTTAAAGTCATATAGTAAAGATAAAGAAAAGATTTCTGTTTGGTTGACCACGTTCTACAAAAAATGAGAGATTTGTATCAAAAGAACTGCAATGTATGCATTCACTAACCTTCATTAATTACAGTTTGATAAATACTTTTGAGAACTGATTGTTTAACTAACGGCTCAACACTTCTAAATCCAGAGAAATCAGCAGATTTATCATCGCTTGAGTCGTTTTCAAGATTTGAAAATATTTTCGAAATCAATTGCGAAAGTTGATCAGTGAAATTTACTGAAAATTAATTTCTCTTTGAAGTAAGTAATTATCTTAAGAATTCTCAAATTTTTCTTAACATTTCAGTTATTAAAATTAAATTTGGCCATTCTTATAAATTTTTATAAATTTAACATGTTTAAGCATAAATATATATATTAATTTATTTATAACTTTGCACTTAAATTATGCATATTTCTAAATATATACCAAAATTTTCATTAAAAATGCAAATTGTTAATAAAATCTATAAGTGTCAAAAACATCTGTAATTTTGCTTATATAATTTGCTATTTCACAAAATCGGATGAATTGATGACTTCACAGTTGAAAATTCATTTCTATTAAAAATATTATGAACATGAAGGGTAAAATTTTAATATATTTACAATTTGTTGGTAATAATGACTCCAGGGAGCCTAATCCTCGAGATAGCCAACTGCTGGTTGTTGTAATTACATGGATTTTGACTGCAGGGAACGTAGGGTTAATAAATCGTTCAAATGAACCATTTCTCTTTCCATGACATTCTTCACCAACTTAAAATTATTATTATTATACGATTTTAACTGACAATTTTCACTGACAATAAATTATGAATTGCCGGATTATTCTTAATTATTAAAATTTAAAATTTGTATTAAAATTTGCAAAAAAAATATGAATATGAGCAGAAAATCAATAAAAAATGTTTAATAAAAATGTTAATAACTGAATAATTAGAATTACAATAGCTAACCGCAATCAATTATTGGTTTCTCACTGAATTCCTGGCGATATCTGTTTTTTTGAACATTTGGTAAAGAACCAACTGAATTATTAAACTTTTTCTGGAAAAAATTTTACATTTTTTCCCATAGGAACTTCACAATAACTTAAAGAACTTTTAAGTCGACTTGTTTCACTAAGATTTTGAACATGCAGGGACGACCAGCGATATATGGCCTTAGACAATGGAAAAACGAATGGCTTCTGTTGCTGTGGACGATGGCATCAAATCGCGCAGCTTAGAAGCGTCTTACCCATGTAGCCGAAGCCAGCTTAACCAGTAAGTGTGAGAGCTGTTAGAAGAAAGAAGAAGAAAATTGAAACGCTGGTACCTTTTTTTTTAAAAAAAATAAATGATGGCAATGATCATAAAATCGGGTGGCTTCGAATTAGAAGCTATTATGTATATTTCAGTTCGTTTTAGAAAGCGACAAGATTTACCAAGAGATCATTAAGTTCCAATGCCCACTGTTGATTTAAGGCTGCTGAATGATTATTATATTGCATACTAATCTTGACGATATTATTCACAAGATCATTAATTGCTGTTTTAAGTTCATCGACGGTCCATACAGTTGTCTATAAATATTTTATTGTATATAAGGAAGAAAATTCAACAAATTATGTGTCCTATTCCAGTCTATTAATGGAAGGATGAAGTGAAATCCCACGGACGCTTATTTGTCTCTATTACCAAATGATTCTCTGACAAAGAATATTGAAAGATTACTTGAAGTACCTCTCCTATTTCAAACAAATAATATTTAATAATATTTTAATCTAAGGCAACATGTAATACTGTTCAAGAAATAATCCCTTATTAGCATGAAATACCATTGTCTCATTTTTAATTAATGTCCTATTGCGGATAATGCCATCAATACCACCAGACCAAAAGTTGATGGCTGAATTGTGATAACCATCAATAGATTCTGGCAGTGAAGGTGATGACGATGATGATATACGAGCAAAATTGTCGCGGTTTATTGAAAATGGTTGCCAATCAAAATCAAACATAGAAGGATTACCTAAATTAAATTGAACAAATAAGCATTCAGCACAATATTCGAATGGTGCCATTGACTTTGGCTTAGTACCATGAGCTTTTTCCTCTTAATTTATCAATTAAATATGAACTCAAAACAATTTATGCAGTTATTTTCCAAAATTATTCTCTTGATAAAAGAGTCTCATCTAAATCCCATCTAACTTTCTATAAAACATTTTTAATGCTAATATTCGCATGATAAAGCTTGAATAATTGATAAAGAATTTTAATAAATTTTAAGAATGTAAAAAAAATTTGCCATTTTTAATGCTAATATTCTCATGATAAAGCTTGAATAATTGATAAAGAAAAAAATTTGCCATTTTTAATGAAGTTGGCGAGAGCAGCAATAAGAAAATTATTGGGTGCTTCATTAAAACTTCCATTAAAAATATGATATATATTTGATGAATCTGTAAAAATAACAGAATTAAATATTTAATAAAAAAAAATTTAGTATAATGAAACAATACTTAATTTTGACCAAAAATAAAACGAAAGAATATGATTTCGAAAATACGAAAGAATATGAAAGAATATGAATATGAATTTATAGAGAAAATTCATTATTTTTCACTAAAAAACTACACTTGAAAATTTTTTGTTGGTTTTAATTCGATGAAAATTCAAATCAACAAGTCTTAAAAGATAAAAAATAAAAAAACCTTTTAAATTAGGCGTAGAAATTTCGAATAAAAATGATTTTCCTTTATTTTTTGTATTATAATACGCTGTGTCATAAATTGGTAAATATATGGCGACATCGTCAAGTAATTTTCCGCTCTTTTCCGCTGTTCATTAAAATTCATTAAAATCAAGAAATAAAGAGCGAAAACTTACCAAATAGCCAAATGTTTGCAAATTTAATATGTAATAAAAAGAAAATGAAAAAGCACTTTTATTATATTCGTTAACACATTTCTCAATCGTCGTATAACTGTCGTTATTTAATTGTCGATATTTTAAAAGAATTTGACACAATGGCTTTGTCGTAATATTTCGTTCATATTTAAAAATTTTCTTAAACCAATTTATTTCATTTTCCATATTTCCAATAAGCATATTATATCCGTTGCGAATTTTTAAAAGATTCATTATCTGAAAATGCATTTTTGCGATAAAACTATGAATTTGTTTGATATATTTATATATAAAAATTATTGAATAATTAATGAGTTTAAATGGATATGGATTACTAAAGAATTAAATAGAATGACTCATTGGGTTGTCGATCAATTCGAAGCGCCAATGGTGGGATTCAACTCCCCGCAGGGGTGAACTTGTCCAAAAATCCTAGTGATGTTGACCACTCACCTTTACTTTTAACGCTAAGGGATTTTCTAGTAAATTTTATCCAGTGCAATAAGTCAGTGGAGCGAGTCTAATCAGCAATGATAAGGACTCTTAAAAAAAGAAAAAATAAATCTGTTATTTGAAAAATATTTTGCTAGGAAAAATCAAACGGAATCAGGAAAAATGGATGTCGATTGTTCCTTATCCAACGATGGCAAATTGAAATTGTTCATTGCATTATCACTTTCAACCTTTTGTTGCGCCATTAACAAATCTTCTGCTTTTTTTGTTCTTTAATAGGGTGAATTTTATTATCAATTTCGTTAAATAATAGTTTTTTTAATAGTATTTTTAAAGTGTTAACTTTTTAGTTTTAAAATGTTTGAAAAGCAAAATTTATAACTATAAATTTTAATTTATGACTAAATAAGCTCGATTAGTCACTAATTAGCATTCACCATTCCTGGTTAGTTAGTTCCACTTGGGAAATTTTATACCAATGAGCTACATGGGAATAGATTTATCGCTAAACCCCCCTCCAACACAATAGGTATTCCCTAGATTTGTTTCCAAAGTTTGACGCTCGATATGATAATCTGAACTACAACCTTTCGGCTATCATGCTCCTAAAAAAACTATTGAAGAAGAAACAAATGCAGAAAGTACGACTCAGTGGGTAGTTGTTTTCATTTTCATTTCTAAGCACTAATGTTGAATTTCTCAGCAAAAGTTAAAAATCAGAGTAGAGCTGGCGTTTCACTGGTAACTTTATCAGCAAGCGAGGAAAACTTGTCTACTTTTGCAGATTAGTGGAGTGGCTTTTACCAGAAATGAAGAACACTGATAAAAAAGAATTCAAGCGGGATATTGTGCTATAATGGTTTTTCCAGTATGAAATACTTATTTCATATTTTTAACTGACTAAAAAAAAACTTTTCCTCATCCTCTGTGAGTGGCATTAACCAACATCAAATCTCGGATCCTGTACGAGAGGCCTGGGAGATTGAGGGTTTTGCGCAATATTTTGGTTGTTCTCAGCAGTTTTTTTTTTGTGCTTTTTTTTTCTGTACAGAAATCTCCAATGTTCTGATCTTAGAATCTATTGAAGCTACTTTTCTAATTTAGAGGTGTTCCAAGTGCTCCAGTTATCACTGGGATTACTTTACTTTCGTTACTTTCTTATCTTCTCTAGTTCTTCTCTCATCTCTTAGTATTTCTCCAGCTTCTCATGCTCCTTCTTCTTGATGTTCGTGTCGCTTGGCATTGTTTTATCAATCAGCAGTGCTGACTTATATATTACCATAATTTTATTTGTTTGCCTGTCTGTATGGAAAAGGCTCACATGATCTCTTTATGATTTTCTGAGGAATCTCCTATTTAGTCATAAGAGGGTTCTAAGCTATATACCGAACAGATATTTCGTAATCACTTGAACTATAATCCAATTAACTGTATTTACATATTTTTTCATGTTTTATATATCATATATTTAATTATATATGCCTAATATATGAGATCATTTCAAAACGAGGAACTATAAGAATACCAAGGGCTGAAAGAGGAACTAGAGAATATGTGGAAAATGAAGATTAAAGTAGTCGCAATGATGGAGTCTGTGATCGGCCCAAAAGAGCGCATTGCTAAAAAGACATTACAAAGAACTCCCGGGCTCTCTGGTATCCAATATCGCGAATGATCCATAACACTCATAACATGAGATTTATATTTTCGATCATAAAAAATTACAAGTAGTCAGAATTGTTGATCAATTGAACAAGTGAATCTTTGCTTTCATTTAATTATCTCCTCCTTACTATGAATAGATTAAAAAAATTACCTGAGGCATTTCATAATATTTGTGATATTAGATGCTGTAATGTTTTCGATTAAATTGCTGCTGCATGAAATCGTTTCAGCAAGCTTAAGCGTTGACAAATAATTCGTAACTAAAGAAGCAACATTTTTATTAATAAATTAATTTGAGTCAAAGAACTTTTAATTTGAAATGATTTTCGGACTTTACTCAGTTCTTCCGATTTGGAAAAGTTTCGCCTAAAAATAAACTACTATAACTGACAGTCATCTATGTAAGGTATCATTGCTGCAGAACCGCCTAACAACGCAATTTGCTGGAATAGTCCGTTCGTTAGTGGTGAAAGCGCCAATTGATCGACGTTGATTGCACCTGCACCAATACCAACGAGTGTTATACGTTTCGGATCGCCACCAAAACGGTTGATTTCACGTTTTACCCATTTAAGTGCCTCAATTTGGTCTATAAGATAATAATTATTATTTGATGCATTCAAAGACTATCTATATTCTATGTATAATTGTGCAAGTAATTTTAGCATTTGACTGCAAAACACTGCTTATTGTCAGCATAAAATTACCATAAAATGATGATAAGACTATATGAAAATGATGAAACAATACGGATGAAGATAATTATTTTATCATTTTTTTTAGAATTTTTATTATTATGTATTTTATATTTTTTTAAAATATTCTTTTTCGATAGCATCATTCGCTTTCCCCAGTACTTCTCTTTTGTTTCATTCAAATCTTAAATGTAATAAATTTTTTTTAACAAATTATAAATAAATCTTACCAAGTAGACCGGCGTTTTTGATTGCAGATTTTTCATCCAAAATATTTAAGAAACCAAATGAACCAACGCGAAAATTCACTGTTACCTAGTATGAAAATTCCTTAGAAAATTTTCTGAGATTTTAGTAAATTTTTTTTCTGAGGAAAAATTTTTGCAGAATACTTTGAGAATTTTTATGCGCATCATATTTATGCCTCTTTCATAGATATTTTTTATTTTTTTTTATTGTTTGAACTTAAATCATTCAAAATTGATATGATATTTGATATTAAAGATATTATGTTAGAAAGTTAAAATGGAAAAGAAAAGAAAATTCATAAGATGTTTTTAATATAAAAAAGAAGCCTTTTTTTCCCACTTATTTTGAAAGACTGAAGGATTAAACTAACAACAATGATTCCTTTGTTGGCCCACATTTCAGAAACAATATCTGCTCTCATTGAGATTGGCGATCTATAATTATATAAGCCTTCATCAATATAGACCTAAAATAAAAATTATCAATTATTTTTATCATGAAATGATCTGAAAAGAAATATTTGAAAAACTGAAAAGAAATATTTTATTTTAATTTATACTATTCTTACAGTTTTATAGCAATAAATTGCCTGCAAGAATCAATCCTTCTTGCGCAGATACATATTTACTGATGCGAAATATTATATGATCGAAGAACGGGAAAATTTTATTTTTTTACAGTCTTACGACAATTTTTTTTTGATTCTAAGCCTTCAGCAATATAAGGAAATAAATTAAACTTATTAAAAGGCAATTTATTGAGGAAATTGTGGAGTGATTAGCAACGCGTAAACAAATGGAATTGTTTTGAAAAATCTTATTATAAAGTGTGTCATTATTCATAAAAAATGAGTGTCAATTTACAAATCACTTGGCTTGATATTGTTTCGAATAAAGGCAATCATCATAGAGTTCGATGCTACCTTTTGATAGCATCGAATCTATTAGTAAAAATAAAAATGATTACTAGTGATTGCATATTTGTACCTCTATTTCCCAGTATTTCTCTTGCGAAAAGTTCATTAAATTATTTTTTTATTCATTGGAGAGAACCAAATAATAAATATTCATTACTGATAAAAGGGAGGCAAGCGAGAGGGGAGAAATAAGTGTTTCAACTTTACATAGCCTGCGGCATAACATTTAAAATACCAACCATTACGGGGCACATAGATGTCATCGTGCAACTTTTTACCGAAAATACGTTAAGATGGAGGCAATCCTCACTCATGATGTTGATTCCATATAAACGATTTGCATCAGATGCATTAAATATACATGAAACCTCAAAAATTTGCTTCGGTTAGAACTTTTTCATAATTTTTGTTTTGCGATAGCAATTAACCATTAAAAACCGAGGTTTTCATCAATACTCATATTTATTAAAAATATAACCTTGTAATAGGTCGCATCTAATATACCATCCCATTTGGTTCTTGGAGCAGGAGCTCGATATCGCATTTCCTTTACTGGCGCTTCAGCATATGGTATACCAAGGAAAACAAAAGCAGTTTCGTTATTCGTTTCAATCTAAAACCAATCTAAGTGCTTATTATTCAAGATAATATTATTAAATGAAGAGCAGTGATAAGAAAATAACGGATAAAAAGAAAGGAGAGTAGAATAGCTCATTGAGTTGTTGTTGAACTGCAAGAGCAGATGCTGAGGTTCTACTTCCGGCTGGGGTTAGCCTATCCGAAAAATTCTGAAGATGCTGCTTATCTTTTTTATGTATTTCTATTCCCAGGGGATTCCTTGGCATGTTTGCTTAGCAAGACAAAGGATATTTAAATAATAATATTATTATAATATAATATAATAATAATATAATAATGATATTTAAATAATAATATTTAGCCACAATAGATATTATGTTTCTTTACAGAGATAAGGGACAAAATGATCGAGTGGTATGTTGCTAAGATCAAACCATTATATAGGCTCGATTCTAAACCGTTAAATGTGAAATCGCTTATTAATTGCTGATAGAGATGTATATGTATATGTATATGCTTAAGACTTTTCGACTTATGTGCGAGAAGCTGATAAAATGCCTCTTTTTGTAAATTCATTGCCAGTTGAGGAAGTGCACGATTTCAAATACCTTGCGTCCACTTTAATGAACAGGCAAAAGATAATATTATAACTCGGATCACGGCAGCTAAAATGCGTTCTTCCGGTTGACGAAACCTTTATGGAGTCGTCGTGAAATCACCATAAAAACGAAAGTCCGCAACTATATAGCCGTGATCCGTTCGATCTTGCTAACCATAGGTTCTGAAACATGGCCAATGAGAGTGGAGGATATTAAGAAGTTATCTGCCTTTGACCACTCTTGTCTAAAGTATATATTAACGATCCGTCGAGCGGATAAGATATCACATGATCGCATCCATCTTGTTCAAATAGCACTTGCATAAATAATATTACCACAGAGCGCACCCTTCGCTGGTTAGGGCATTCTCTGTTGTCCATCACAGGAGTTATTTCGTTATTTGCTAAACTGTGTGATGGTTGGCGTCAAAAGCGAAATGGACCAATCAAGACTTGGACTGATACGGTGAGAAAAGATTTTGAACGTATAGGTGGACCAACAATATATGGATTTAGACGATGGAAAAAGGAATGGCTTCCATTACTGTCGATGATGGCATGCCGCTTGAAAGCGTCTTACCCTTGTAGCTGTTGGAGCCAGCCTAACCAGTAATGGTGAGAACTGTTAGAAGAAGATATGCTTGCGAGAGTTCTTCTAACGAAGGTAAGTTATCTTTATGATAGCCAGCAAAGCTAACCAAACTAGAATTGAGATAAGTATAAGAGATTAGAAGAAGAAAAAAGAAGAAGAAAGAAAATTAATGATAATTGTCAACTGAAGAGGAACAAATTACTCCGAAATTTTAGCGCGCTTTGGTTTTCTTCAATCTAAATTATACCTATTTATATTTTTAATGTTGGTTCATTTTTGGTTTCTTTGCAAGTTATATTTTATATTTCATTCGAAATGAAATAAATAATTTCAAAATTGCTTACTTTTTTCCCTTTCAAGAACGCATTATTTGATAATTGTCTAATAGTATCATCGTTAGCAATTAAAATTTCGTTTAGTGATTTGCATATTAAAAACAATAATATTATTATTATTTTATAATAATTCATTAAACTTTCTGAAAAATGAAAATTATTATTGGCGTGTTTTTTTTTTTAGAAGAGTCAATATAGAATAAATTTTGTGTTCTTGATTAGAAATTTTTACAAGAATTTAGGCTTCAGAGCGAAGTCTATAAATTTATTTTGACGATCATTACTGTCGAAGTTTAAGTAGAAGTTTAAGAAGAAGTGCAGAGAGTGTATCTTAATTCAAATCTTTATGCTGAGGGAATGAGCTATGAAATGTGAATAAAGAAAATTCTACAATTCTACAAGAAGAAAATTCAAATTCTACAAAAAGAAAACCATCATGGGCTGTAAAATCTGACAAAAACCTATAAATAAGGCTATTGAATACTATATTGCTTGGATTTAGTGCACAACAGCATAACAGGCTACAGGAATAAATTCTCTCATTCAAAATAGGAGCAGAGTGGCGCTAAAGAAATTTTGTACTTTTATTCTCAACTTTCAGTGGAACGGACTCTAAAATCAGTGTAGCCGCTCGATTTATAAATTAAACATTAGAGTTAGAAGATTAAACATTATATTAAAACATTAGGTTTTCTTTAAAGTATTATCTCAAAAGTGTAAAAAATATTATCGTTACTGAGATGAATTTTGAGTGAAGTGGTTTTTTATAAAATAATGAACAAGAATAAATTAGGTGAATTTAGTGACAAATTATCCATTGGTACAATAACGAAATAAGAAGTACCACCTGAAAAAGCATTACGAAATTCAGAGTAAGGTGTAAAGAATGTAATAAGTAAATGAAATGTGTTCGAAGATGTCAACAGTAGTTTGAAATTTAGAAATGATGATTGCAATTTAGAGTTTGTCGGTTTGAACTGGAAGACCTTCAGTTTTAATGAAGAGTTTCTGCGCTATACGATCAAATTCAATCAAAAATCAAAATATCAAAAAAAATAGATCAAATCGTTGAAAAAGGAGATTATAACAGGCAAAAATCTCAAATCATAGAAGGCTTTTGTAAGGTTGGTGTTTGAGTCTAACATGAACTTATGGAAGAACACACAGTTTAAAAATGAGTGCCTCGTTTCTTCTTAAGCAGGAAAAGGAATCAATTTTGGATTTTTGGAATTTTGGATTTTTTCTAGCGAAGAAATATATGCATTCTACTAAATCCTAGCCATAACCCTAGATAAATGCCAACTGCCATCAATGGAAGAAATATCAGCAACAACAGCTAAACCCGATATTCGCGGCTAGTGACTGTAGTCTGAATGAACTGCTGCTGCAACCTGGTGAAATTGCCACCAATGACATCCTATTTTGCAAATAATCGTCTTCAAGAAGAAAATTCCTAAGATAATTCCTAAGATTTATTTTTAATAATCATTAGAAAAGATGCAATCATACAATTCCTTATGTTTCAAAAATGTAGTTTCCTTAAGTTTCAAAAATGCATCAAAAAATCAAAAAATTTATCTAAGAATTTATATGTCACCTGCAAATTTCCTTAACACTACTTCTTTCAGATTTGTCGATTATTCACATCTTTGTAACATCATTTGGTTGAAAAATTTCTTTTAAGGATGCAAAAAATGACTTTAAAGACTATTTCAAACGTAGAATCAGCCTTCTACATGATAGGAAATCATGAATTGATTCAGCACTCCTATCTTATCTTACACATATTACAGTATTTCATTCCTTTCTACCTCCTCTTTATTTTTTTCTAATTTTAAGTCTCGCTTTCTATTTGTCATTGAAAATCCTTATTAATAATTTAATCTATAGGTAAAGAATTTTTCTATTTTTTCTTCATCTCAATATTTCCTCATCGATAATTTTTCTACTTTGTATTTTGTATAGCCCACACGCCCTTATCATAACCATATTTATATAAAACCTGTTTTCCAACTCAAATACGACTGAAGTACCATATTTCACTTTTCTCTTATTTCCAATGTCACCTGAGCTAAAATTGTTTGCTTATGTTACCTTCGAAAGTGTGATAAATAAACTGATAAATTATTTTTATCTCTTATCTCTAAATATCACTTTATATCACAGTTTTAAATCTTTCTTTACCTTTTAGCAAATTCTTACGGAATTTTTTAGCGTGTCAATGTGAACACTATAAGAAAAACAGAAAGCACCGTGAAGTATGATGAGAAATGGGGGGATTGAAGAAACATGGGAATTTAAGCATGTTTAATGAATAATGATGTCGATTTGTCTGATGTTTAAAGCGACTTAATCTAATGTTAAAAGAATATAGGCTGAACGTGATTAAAAGTCGTAAAACAGGTAGTATTTGACGACTGTATCAGGTGTGGATTTAAGGCAAAGCATAACATCAAGCAGAGCATCATTTTTAAGAATATAGCACAAAATATAAGAAATAAAATAAAATAAATAGTGTTATATCGAATTTTTTTTAAATATAAAATTAACATATTCAGATGTGGATTTAAGGCAAAGCATAACATCATGCAGAGCATCATTTTTAAGAATGATAGCACAAAATATAAGAAATAAAATAAAATAAATAGTGTTATATCGAATTTTTTTTAAATATAAAATTAACATATTCAGATTTCAAAAAATCTAAAATATTTTTATCAATGTATTTTAAATATTTTCGGGCATTTTATATCATTTATTTCTATCATTAAGCTTATTTTAATCTACATCGAAATTTCATTTTTTTTTCACTGGAAATTTGTTTTAAAATAAATCATCCTTATTTAAAATAAAAATTGTGTCCCTCCATCGGATGAAATTAATAATTGGAAGTACTAATTGGCTTCGAAGCTTCCTAAATCTTTCGAAACACCTTTGTGCAAATTTGTTCAGACCAATAAGCATTAAAATAATAAAATTCAAGAAAATATTAAGTAAAAAAATATTATGAAATAATCACCAAACCGTCAAGGATGACAAAAATGTGCCGAAATGTAAATAAAATATTACGAAATATTCTCTTTTAGCTGACAGTGATAAGACTTTGATTATCAATTAAAAATTTAATCATTATCAATTAATTATCGAACTACATATATGAATTGTTGATGATGAAATTCTGGAAAGGTAAAATCAATAAATAGGCAGAAGAGTGAAAATCTGGAAAAAATTGTTGAAAATTATGAAAATATCTTCCAGGCTGGCATTCAGTTGGTATCGTTGTTACCATTGGTAGTCTTCGTGAATCCACTGAGCGCCCTTTTTTTATGAGATTTTTGTACTGGAATTATTTCTGATTTACTGCAGTATGAACTAATTATAAAATATGAAATATAAGACATGATTAATCTAAAATATGAATCTCTATGACAAATAGGGATCAAACTGTGAAATCTTAAAAAAATTCTTTTCTTAGTCTAGAAAAA